CCTGAGATTAAGAATTCCTCATATTAGTGAGGTCATATGATACATGTCTTTCTCTGACTGACTTATTTCGCTCAGCATAACACCCTCCAGTTCCATCCACGTCATTGCAAATAGCAAGAACTCATTCCTTTTGATGAACCAAGTCCATCTTATCCATATTTTATCATTGAATTTGATGAAGAAAATCACAGAACTGGATTGACGGGCTTTAGTTGACATTCGAGATCACAAATGTCACACGAAGAGTCAACAATGACTTCCAGACTTATTAATTCTTTCTTAAAAGGTTCCCGACCCTGTGAAAGGACTATTTCATGGCTTCTTCTCAAACTCCGTGAGTCCCAGCAATTACCGTGCTTCATTGAGTAAAGAAAACCCATCCGATGAGAACCACTCTCCTTCTTCCCTCCCCATAAACCATACTTTCTCCCAACAGAGATCCATCGCCCTCTGCCATTTCTGCTCGGGATGCAATCTTCTTTCACTCACACAAGGACTGCAGTCTTCCATTCATCACCACCCAACACACACCAGCTTTTCCTTTCTCTACTAGATCATTCCTGGAAGCATACACATGTTCTAGCTCTTCCCACTGCCTCCTTCACGTACTACCTTATGTCTGTGATCCCCTTTAGAGTATATCTTAAAAAGTTTGTCCATATTCACTGCCTCTACTACCTCTCTTCCATACTATCTTTGACCAATTCCATCTGCCTTCTGTTCCTGTCTGCCTCTGTAATTTCTTTGGCCAGGTTTACCATGGCTTTCATACAGCCAAATGAGGCATACATGTTCTTTTTCTCATCCGATTTGATCTCTGAATGGTAGACTATTCCCTCCTTCTTGAAACACTCTCCAACCTTGGTTGCATACCATTCCTTCAGTCTCTTTTCCTTCTATACTCAACTTCTACATGCTTTCCAGGACTTGGTTCTGAGAATTCTCATGGCCACGATGTTCCTAGATCTCCTTTAACCCCCTGGTTTCAATACCATCTATGTCTTGATGACTCCCAAATTTATAATAGCAGCCCAGTCCTCTCTGAGTTCCAAACTTTACTCTCTCCTTGACATCTCCACTCAGATGTCTCTAAATTAACATGCCCATAACCACATGCTTTACTCACTACCCTCTCTCCAAGCCTTTCCAGCATTAAGACTTTGTTCAATAAATGTCACCTGTATCTACTGATTTATGGAAACTGAGTCATCCTTGACTTTCCCCTCTCACTTCCATTAACGAGTCTCCTTCATACTTCATATATATCCATTTGACTTTGAGGCACCTCCTGGGAATCCCCATTGGACCAGGAGCACTATTTGAGTGCCCCTCAAAGAACTCATTTTCAAAACAAGACAAGAAATGTAGGCAAGGAAAAGACAAATAAGATAGAAAAGTAAAACGAACTCAAAATTAAAGAGAGCTCCAGAAAGCCTTGTCATAAGATCCTAAACAGGTAAAAGAGGATACCAATTTGGCTCTGGGCTCCCTAGGAACAAAAGCAAAAACAGAAAAAATATCATTGACCAGGAACCCATACAGTTCACAGATTAAAAACACGTTGGTTGTTAGGAGAGACAGTTGCCAGAAGAGAAATTCTCTGTGGGAGCTCCAAGAAGCTCTGACCAATGCTACAGACAAGGTTCCCAATGAAGCCCACAGTAATGCTGTCCACTCTGGCTACAACATTCGCAGACTAATGTGTTCAAACTACCCATAACAATCAGAGAACAAATCTGAGCAG